ACTTGTCTTTTTGGTGTGTTGTACAAACCAAATTTTATCTAGAACAACAAGTAGGCTAGCAAATTTTTCTTCAGAAAATAGTTCCTCCCTGCCATAATCAGTCCAATATTTTGAGAACCCATTTCGTGCCTTATTCATAAGGCTGGCATTACTGGTTTTAAGATACAATACGCCATTGATAGAACAAAACTTTAAAGCCAATTAAATGTTGGCAATCTTCCTACCACTGGCAAAGGCATACTTGTTAACAGTTCTCCTTTGTGGTATGTTTGCAGTGTAATCACTGATTTCTAGAAAGCTTTTTTGGCACATCAAGATAAAAATATCTAACAAATTTATGTTTATAGACAATTTTAGACTTTATTCACATTACCTGAAAGCATTTTAGTTTAAAAAGTACAGGTTGTATGCATTCAAATGACATATGTATCCTTCTTAACACAAGGAAAAAAATAATGATTTGTAGAACCAAGCTATACAAATAATAGTTTATTTGCATTTTAACTAGTTAACAATTTCAGAAGTCATTAAATACAAATCTTTATGAAACACATTACTAGGTGTGAGTTAGGAGATCATGCTGCTTTGTTGGAAAAATAACCAACATTTTTGTCCTGGATTTTAATGTAAGTAAAAGCTTTCATGGCTATTTACTTAAATGTATTTTGAAGTTAACAAAGCTTTTTTTTCTTCATTTTGTGTGGGAAGAATGTGATTAGGTTGGCAAAGAAATAAACACGCAAGCCAAAATTGACTAGGAAGGCTTAATTTATAGTGAGATAAACTTCTATGAATGCAAAGTTATTTACAACAAAAGGCACTAACTTTACTATAAGCCTACTAAGGCTTAGAAGGCATTTTGGAGAAAATAAAAAACACGGAAACACTATTGATATAATTTTCTCCCTTCTGCAAATGCTCTGCAGTATGGTAGTCCTGCACCATCTAGTCCCACAAAAGCTTCCTTCTCATACTCACTACCTTAGAGGTCATGGCTAGGCTTCGCAAACGAAGATTTGGGAAAGGCTCTATCCACATTTGTTGCAAGCACGTTGGTGGCTAAAAAGGCCAATACGAGATAGACACGTCCGGTTGCAAAAGGCACAGCAGAAAGACTCCTTAGATGGTGTATTCTGCAAGGCACGATTCTTTCTGCGTTGTCTTTTCTCCTCAAGGGTGATCCTGCGTGTGTTCTCAAAGGAAACAGCAGCGTTATAGATGGTGTGTCTCCAGGCCTCCCAATTTGAGGCCAGAGTAGACCAGTTATGTTGATCAATATGGCCAAGGCTGAGATGTTGTTTCAGGGAGTCCTTGTATCTTCTCTTCGGGGCTCCTCTCATGCGGCAGCCAGTGGCAAGTTCACCATAAAGCAAGATCTTAGGGAGGCGGTGGTCCTTCATCCTGGAGACATGTCCTGCCCAACGCAGCTGTGTTCTCAGTGACATGGCCTCAATACTTGTGACTGCTGCTCGTTCTAGAACAGATGTATTGGTCACATAATCTGACCAGTGGATGTTTAGGACTGTATGGAGACAGCGTTGATGGAAGCGTTCTAAGAGACGCAGGTGGTGGCGGTAGATGACCCATGATTCAGATCTGTATAAGAGTAGACAGCACTATGGCTCTGTAAACACTGATCTTTGTACTTTTCTTCAAGTATTTATTTTGCCAAACCCTTTTATGAAGCTTTCCAAAGGCACTATATGCCTTTGCTAATCTGTTGTCTATCTCTCCGTCAATCTTACCATCCGAGGAGATGAGGCTACCTAGGTAATTAAACTGCTGGACTGATTTGAGCTCTGATTGGCCAATGGTGATGTGGGGAGAATGGAAGACATCATCCATCGTCTTCTTCTACCTTAGAGGTACTAAACTACTAATGTCAGTTCTATCAATGCTAATGATGTGAGCAGAGATTCCTTCCTAATCTCAGGAATTTTATTTGTCTGCAAAAGCATGTTCTGTACAAAAGCAATGTAAAAACTATAGTAAGGAAACAGTGGTCATGTCTGTAACAATAGAGTTTATTGAGAGGTGTGTTGGCAAAGTAATATAAGGTTAAGTCTGCTACTTTTTTATCAGTAGGACTCTCCTTTTCACAGTTTCTCATAATGTGTTTGGAAATGATTATAGTATATTTTTATTATGCTGGTACAAAGTGAAATTCTCCTCATAGACCTTTTAAACAAAGAATGCTTTATTAATACCTACACAAATAAAACCCTTAGCCATGAGAAAGGTCTAGATGCAGCTATAAAGGTAAAGCTGCATCTTATGAGAGTTAAAAATCTGAATGCAAGAACCACACTGAGTATAGCATTAGACTCTTCACTTGATCCACTTAGCTACTCTTAATGCCCTCCCTACCAAAAAATAAAATTAATCACTTTTCTAACTCAGTTCAGACTTGATAGGAATCTAGAACAAACTGGTAAAGGGGCAATAACTCTGAAAATGTAGGCAGTGAAGAATCAGGCTGGAAGGCAAAACTCCCCGTGTTTTCAAAGTTCTGTGTGATTACATGGAAAATTCAGGTTTTAATGACTTCCAAAGACCTTATTTGGACTATACCTCAGTACAAATTTCTGCCAGCATAGCTGCCTCAATGAGGAGTCACACCTCTTCCCATCACAAAAAATATTCGGGTTCAGGATGGTTATCAACCTTGTCACCACTGAGGAGAAAGGTAAACATAGCTCAATAGCTTCATTCACTTGGCACTTTTCAATGGTACAGAGGAAGAGACGAGTGAGCTTACAAAAATATTGGTATATATGAGTCTCCGAGGCTTCAGATGTTTTGCAGAGTGCTAGCACATAAAAGGGTTTCTGGTTTTGTGTGTCTCTTTCCATTGCTTTAACTGCAGGGATCTTGTTTTTTCTTCTCAAGTCATACTCTGTCTCAGTGATCATCTGAGAGGCAATGAGAAAAAGAAGCAACTGGGTGAAGGTATGAGCAGTAGCACACATATGACACAGTAAAGCTACTATATCATCACAGCTGCCTTCACTGCCCACAAAATTCCTTTTTGTTGAGCTGAGTTAATTTAACTGTATACCCTATTACTTTATATGGGTAAATATAAAAATATATATTATGGTATTGATAGGAAAGCCAAGCTCATATATTGAGCCTATTCTTTCTGTGCTAACATATAACTGAGTGAAGAGATGTTTTGTTGAGACCTGAGATCTGTCCCTCATGAATACGTTCTCCCAGAAGTCTGTAAATGATACTACTTAACAGCTACAAAAAAATCTCTGACTTGACAAGAGTAAACTAATGACTGAGGGACTACCCAGCATCCTGGCACAACAAACTAAGGCAAGTTTTTCTGTCAGGAAAAGAAATTAACTATTTTGTCCCAAAGAGATGAACATGGTTATTGCAGGACTGGAGGTGAAGCCTTGCTTTGAGAAGGCAGCATTCACCTGTCTCCAGCCTGCGCTCCATCAGGCCTGATCTGCTCCCTCACACCCCTGAAGCACCTGAAGCTCTCCCAGAACTGCCAGCAAGGTCTCCAAGCCCTGTCAGATACTAGGCTGTGGGTGAGCAGCACATCTCTAGCTACCTTGTTCAAACACTTATTGTATTGATGTTGATAACCCTGTGTTAGGCCTTTTGGAATTGCACTCTGGGCACGATTGTATTGGGTTTGCATGGCAAAGTTTTCGTAGTGGGGGTCTACATGAGTGGCATCTTTGAGTAGATTCCCATTGCAGCCCATGGTGAAGGCCCTGGTGAGACAGGCTGTCCCCCTGTAGCCCATGGGTCACAGTGGAGCAGAGATCCACCTGCAGGCCCGTGGAGGACCCCATGCTGGTGCAGGTGGATGTGCCCAAAGGAGTCTGATGCCATGGGAAGCCTGTGCTGGAGCAGGTTTGCTGGCAGGACTTGTGACCCTGCAAGGGACCTGCACTGGAACAGTCTGTTCCTGAAGGATGGTATCCTGTGGATGGGACCCACACTGGAGTAGTTTGTGAAGATATGCAACCCGTGAGAAGGACTCATACTGGAGAAGTTCATAGAGGACTGTCTCCCGTGGCAGGGGCCCCACAGTGGAGCAGATGAAGAGCGTGAGGAGTCCTCCACCAGAGGAGGAAGAAGCGACAGAGACAGTGTGTGATGAACTCACCACAGTCCCCATTTCCCAGACCCCTGTGCTGTTGAAGGAGGAGGAGGTAGAGAAGTCGGGAGTGAAGTTGAGCCCAGGAAGAAGGAAGCGGTGGGGAGGAGGTTTTTAAGACTATTTCTCATTACCCTACTTTAACGTGATTGGTAATAAATCAGTTTCCCCAAGTTGACCCTCTTTTGCCCAAAACGGCAATTGCTGAGTGATCTCTCCTTGTCCTTATCTCGACTTATTTTCTCCCCCCTGTCCAGCTGAGAGGGGCAGCGACAGAGCAGCTTTGGTGGGCGCCTGGCGCCCAGCCAGAGTAAACCCACCACGACGACGAAGCCAGTCATAGACTCATAGAATGGTCTGAGTTGGAAGGGGACCTTGAACATCATCTAGTTCCAACGTCCAATAAGCGCCAAAACTTATTTGCCACCTGACTCGGCAAAACAGCGCAAGGCGGCTTTTTCCCTCGCCCCCAGGGTGCCGTCTCGCAGCAGAAGCCGTCTCCGCCAAAAACGCGGCGCTCCGTTCGTCTCCCCCTTCAGCCAAACGTGCCTCCCGGCGGTGAAGCAGGAAGAGGAAGGCGCAGCGGGCAGGTGCGGACAAGAAGCAGAGCTGTAAGAAAAGAACACCCTCCCGGCAGGAGCCCCGGCAGCGGGATCCGATGTCCCAACACCCCAATGAGATGACCCCGCGCCGGCCCGGCCCCCGCCCCGCCCCCTCCGCGCTCTGGGCCCGTCCGTCACGGGCCGCTGGGCGGGGCCGGCCGCCCGCGGGGAGGACGCCTCGCGCTCCCATTGGCTGGGCCCCGGCGAGGGGCGGCTGTGGTTGGCTGCGGCGGCTGCCGCTCGCGGCGCGCGGGTGGTGGAGGCGGCGGGGCAGGCGGCGGCGGCCGGAGGTCGCTCGGGCGGGGGCGCAGCATGGCCGCGGCGGTGGTCCGCGGGCGACCTGCGGGCTGGTGGCGCTGGCACCGCCGGGTGATGGGTAAGGACCTGCCCCAACCCTCGGCTCCAGCGGTCCCGCTCTGCCGGCCGGGCGGGGAAAGGCCGGGCCTCTCCCGGTGCTCGGCCAGGGAGCGCAGCTGCTGCGCTGCCCTTGGCGGCCGCGGGCCCTCCGAGCGCGGCGGGCCCGGTGCAGCTCCCCAGCCGCCTCGCCGTGTGGCGTCCCCGGTGAGGGACCCCCCAGGGGTCACGGCTGGCGCGGGACACTCCCGCTGCCGCGTTACTTGGGGCCGCCGCGGAGCTTCGGAGTAGCTTGACTTAATAGATGTTTTCAGTCATTTGCTTAAAATAGCGTGCCTGGAAATCATCAGAGCCCACAAATGCTTCCTGTGGCACCAGTGACATGTTTGTTGTTACCCAGGTTTGAGCTGTTCAGCCCTCGGTCATTGCATCCGAGGCGTAGTTTCCTTAAACTGAAGGTAAATCCAGCGGCACTTCCTCCCGTGTCAGCTCCGCAGGCACTGATCCTCACCTGTGGTTGGTTCATGGGCGGTGGAAGGAGCAAACACTGTTGATGTCCTCTTGGTGCAAGTGAAGGAAGACTGTATTTGCAGAGCTGAACCTAGACCTTTTCTGAATCCTGAAAATCATGCAACTATTTCCAAGCAATTTATTTGCTAAAGTAAATTATTAAAAGAAACCTTCAGTAGTCGTTTCAGTGTCATTTTGATAGCTGTCTGTTGCTATTGTATGTCAGGCTCACATAGATGAAGGTGTTTCAAGTAGCAAAGTGGAAGAAATAGATTCTTTTAAATGGTATATGGTTCTGAAATCTGGACACTTAACAAAGTGTTTCAAGAATTACTCAATTACTTTTAAGTAAGTAACTTTAAAAAATTTAAACTGGTGAATGGAAAGCATTTGATGCTTAATTTTGGCATTAGCTTTCAGTGCTATTTTTGTTTCACTGTCTCTTTTACAGTAATGCATTATGTTTTTATAGTTTCAGCTGTGGTGTAATAGCTCAGGTGCAGCAGGCATATTGGTCACATGCAAGTAAAGTTAAATACAGGATACCCGTTTGTGTATTTAGTACCTTTTGTGATACCACAGTTGAAAGCAGTAGCTTTCAAGGTATTTTGAACTTTCTTTGCATGGTAGCTGTAAGATATTTCTGTAAGAGCTTTGAAATACACTGTCTTGGTCAATATTTCAATGGTCATGTTTAATATAGAGCATATGGTGGGGATCTTGTTTCTTGGTGGTGAGCATAGGTGTGAAAAGCAACCCTAGACTGGCCCTTAAAGTTGAAAAATAGTTTGTCTTTGCCGTAAGACCTGAGCAAGAAACTGTGACTAAGTCTAAGGAGAAATTGTGACTCTCCCAAGAAACTTCCATAGAACAGAATTTCACCCACAGAGTTTAAGATCTGACTTACTTAGTCTGTAGTGACTATGCTGAAAGTACTCTTGACTCTGAGAAGTGTTTATGGGATGAAGGTCTAAGCATTAAGCCTTCTTTACTGCTAAGCTCTACTGCTTAGTTATATGTCAAGGTTTTCTCATCTCTAATGCGTTTATTAGGTTTACCATCCTTTTCTTTCATTTTAATTAGTCTGAATGTTGTCTTTTGAGTAGTGATTTCATCAGCTGTCCTTCTGAGTGAAAACGCCTCCTAGTGAAGGAACTCTGCCAGCTCTGAGAGCTGTCACACCGCAGCTTGGTTAGTGAGTGGGTTGTCTTAATTCTCTTGTTGAATGTTCCTTGGTTACTTGGTCAGTCACTCTTTGCAGCTGGTGCAGACTGTGATGGATTGTTTCTTCTGTATGTTTGTTCCAGAGACTGTTAAATTATCTAGGAGGAAAATGAAAAGCTGAGGGCAGATTTTAGAGCAGCATCTTGGATATGTATTTGTATTAGCGAGTTGGATAGAGACTATGTAGTCTTGTGATCTGCCCCGGCAGACTCTGACAAAGGTGCTTCATGGAGGGGGTTTCTATGATCTTACTTTAAAATATGTTTTTGACGGACGTGGAATCCTCTTCCTGAGGACTGCTAGGGGGGATGAAGAGGATGTTAATGAATTATGGTGTCTGAGAAAGGAAGATTTTTCTGGTGAATGAAGATTCATCAGCTGAGGGAGCTGCTCATCAAAGAAGACAGTACCCTGCTAGAGAACAAAAACGTCCTGACAAGTAGTTTTGGATGAGTGGTAGGGACCCATTCAGTTAGTAGTTAAATAGTACTTTTGCTGATGCAGGAGCTGTGTTTGAACTGTTGAATGACTTCATGCTCTGGTGCAAAAGAACGTTGATTACTAAGCAAGGATTATGACAGAAAGACCTGCTGCTCCAAAGTCCAGCACATTACTTAATTAAGGGATCAAGTGTACACTTGATATTCTTTTTAGGTGAAAAGTACTTACTATAACGTTTTCTGTTTAATGTATTAGCAAACATTTAGTGAAGTATAGCTACAGATAAGAAAAATGAGGTAAGAAGACTCTGACTGTTACAAGATATCATGTCTGGTTTTGTTCAGTAGACCTTTACAGAGACAAGAAAAAGCAAGTGGGATGTTTCAATGTAAAGCTGGCCAAATTTAGAGTATTATAATCTTCTTAAATTATTATTTTGGCAGAGTGCAATTCTCAAAATCATTGCGTAACCTTTAAAAGCCAGTGATCCTGGAGCAATTTAAATTCCATTGGCAAAGCTTCTAGGAGCAGAAAGATTCTACCTATGTGTAGCTGGCCTCTCTAACGTCTATGTTTCTTTATCTACTTTCCTCCAGGATCTGGTTCACTAGAGGTTTTATGAGTTTCCATAGGGAAGTCTGCACAAGACACAGCAACTCTCTCTGATCCTTTATTTCAAAGCGGGAAGCAGAAAAGCAGTGGTGTTTTCTGTTGTGCTTGTACCAGAACTTCAGATGCTAAAACAGTGGGAAGATCTTTCATTTAGTGGCTCATATTGTCATCATGTTTCCATCTCCTTGTCAAGTGACTTCATATGTACTTTCTCATAAAGCCCCAAGCATAACCAGCAACTTCATAGTTGAGCTTCCTCTGGGCATCTTCCCCTGATCCTGTTAAATCTCACCTACTAGGTTGGAAAAGAGGTCAAGTTTCACCGATCCAGAGAGATTAGGAATATTAGTATGAACCGCAACTGCTCTGATTAGGTAATTCTTATGGGACAGGACAGTGTGGGCTATTACCTCTTGTGCCATTTGGTGAACATGATTCAAAATAGATTTTATAAGGCCACGAATTAAGTAATATAGTTGAAATTACATTTGAAAGTTACTTGTTTCTCAGTCCTATTCTTGGCCAGTTAGGCTGTTCTTTCTCTCAGAGTACAAGTATATTGGACCTTTTCCAGCTCTGCTGTTTGTGGTCCTACCCGGCTATTAGTTCCTTTTTGTTTGAATACAAAGAGATGTCCTCAGTACTGCATATTATAGTGTTTGTGCAGTCTAGTATTTGCAGTGAAATCAGGGTACCACTGGAGCTGGAATTCTTTCTTGAAACTGTAAGAGTCATTACTTTGGGAGATAGTGTAAAACAAAATGTAAACATCTGAAATTATCTAAACTTGTAAGTGTCATAGTTCAGGTTAAAAATAAAATTGCTTTCAATATCTTTATGTAGAATCTTGAAAAGACAAGTTTTAGGTCATTGACAGGCCAGGTATTCTAAGGAGAGCATTGCAATCTGTGCATTTCTGAAGTTAAACTCTTCTATTTTGTTCAAGAAAAGACATTTGTAGACTCAAACTCTTGCTGATTTTTTAAAATAATTTTATAATAATTTAAAATAATTTTAATTTAAAAAAATTAAGGTAAAATTAAAGTTCTGAAATTGCAGATTAGATCAGATGTTTCTATTATAGACCGACTTTTCAAAGCAAAACATTTTTGTCTGTATTGTCCGTAAGCCCCAGTTGTGGTGAGAGGGTCATAATTGGTCTTCCTCATCAATGAAGTCTTCATAGGCATGGGGCTCTGCAAACACATATTCTCTCAAGAGAATAATGAAGAATCTCCTGGGAAAAGCCCAAATTCTTTGGATTCAGTGTAGCTGTAGCTGGTTTTGCTCATAATTAACTTGATCTATAGAGTAACCTATATTGCTGGTTCTGTTCCCAGTGAAGGAGTATTAGTTACACATGGTATCGATGATTGTTTTAAAAGTAGATTCTATTGCTCCTACTTCTGACGTTCTGCCCTCTGTTAGAATTTAAATGTGGACTGGGCGTTTTTCCAGCCATGTGATTGCAGCAGGTTATTGTAGATTTTATGGTTGAAGTAAAATACACTCAATACCACAGGGACAGTTTCTGCAAATGCTTATACAGTTGATGGGATTAGTTAAGCATATGTGTATGTGGGTTTGCAGAATATCAATCCTTACACGTTTGAATTATACAATTATTTCAAAACTGGGCTTGTGCCATGTATTAAATGCTGAAAAGTATCTAGATATTCAAGCTGGACATCACTTTCTCTGAAAGTACCTGTGGAGGCTCGTCTAATATGAAAATGTGAAAAATCTTCTAAAACATGCTGTGTTTGGCAAAGCCCCACTGTCTTAAGTAGTCATTAAAAATGTGCCACGATTCTAAAGGCAGTTGATTCAAATGTACTTGAAATCAGCTCTGTTAGGCCTGTGAGCTAATTTCATCAGTGCTTTAAAGCAGTTTTCCTGTGGTTGAGTGCCTGGAGATCTGGAGATTTTTCATAGCTGTTAATCAAATTATATGATTTTAAAGTGGCTAATTTAACACTGGGCTGTGAAGAGTTAAACCAAACTAAGAAGTCAGAAACTGACTGGGAAATTGGACTAGTTCTCTAACATTTACTTCTCTCCCAATTCCTGTGGATTTTAATATATTGTAGTTAGCCCATAACAGAAACTAAGACAAGAGAAAATCAACAGAGACAGACAAAAGGGGAAATAAAAGAATACAATGACACAAAACTATTAGTACCGGTCAGGATATGTCGCCTCATATCCCAGCCTAACTGGGATGTTGCCACACCTGGGGATATTGCAAAATGACGATTTTTAAAGGAGGCCTTATAGTAGAAGAATGCATTAATTTCATGGATATTTACCTTAGAGACATAATAGAAATGCATGTTGGCAATAAGCCTGTCACTGCAGTCCAATTACCAGTTGATGTCTTAATATTTAGATGTGATGATAGCCATGAAAAGTCATCAAGGCAAAGCAGTCTTATGTGACATGGTAGAGAAAAGGCAGGCAGGATGCAGAGAAGGAGAGACAGAAAGTGGCATGGGCAAAATGTCTTTCTCAATTCCCAACATTTCCATGAAGATCAAGGCAAGATTATGACTGTTGAGGCGAGTGACCAGGCTGTGAAGTAGCTGAGATCTCAGATATGACAAGGGATGAATCAGTGAGATTTAAGCAGATTGTAGATGGCTCGTCTAGGCTGTGAGTGACAGACATCACTGCTGGTGTCAGCACTGATAACAAAAAAAAAAATTTTTGGAGATGTTTAGTTTGAGATGATGGTTAGATGTCCATGAGGTGGTGTGAGAAAAGAAGAGATCAGGATAAAAGTGAAGAGTCTACAACAATGAGCCTAGATTTGGTAGTCAGATTTATTCCTCTGGTGAGGTCACTTGGAATTCACAGAAATGAAGAAAACTGAAGTTTGGGAGCAAGGCTGTCTTTAAAGCTAGATCAGATTGCTCAGGGTGTTCCAAGGTTGCTCCAAGGATGGAAGTTCCACAGCCTCTCTACACTGCCTGTTCCAGAGCAGAACCTTTTTCCACACGAGAGATGCTTTTCTGATTTCTAAACAGAATTTCCTTTCTTGCAACTTTTGGCCATTGCCCCATGTCCTGTTGTTGTGCATATCTGTGAAGAATCTGGCTTCATTTGCTCTGTAAGTCTTCTTCCCTCTCCCTTGGTGGTAGAAAACTGCAGTTAGCCTTTGCTTCTCCAAGCTCAGCCAAGACAGTTCCCTCAGCTGCTGCTCATAGGCCATGTTCTCCAGCTCGTCGGTCATGTTACTTGATGTTTGCTGGATTGTCTGCAATTTGACCGCATCTCTTATGTATTGTGCTGTTAGAGAGGAATCACTAGTTTCTTTGACTTCTTGGATATGCTCTTGCTAATGGAGGGCAGAATGTCATTAACCTTTTCCTGCGAGGATGCACTACTGACTCATGCTCAATTTCCACAGGTTCTGCAGAGCTGCCAGCTGTCTAAGCCAGTCCTCAGTCTGCAGTGACATCTCCTGCCCCAAGTAGAGGACATGTATTTGTCTTCGTTGAACTACTTGAGGCCCATTTCTCCAGTCTTTCTGAATGGTAGCCTTGCCCTGCAGTTTTTCAGCCATTCCCCTCAGTTTGGTGTCACACGTGATGTTGCTGAGGGTGCTAATGTTCTATCGTCAATCATTGATGACATTTTTAAACAACCCCAATATTGACCCATGAGGTACATCATGTGTAGCTGGTTGTTGATAGTCTTTGAACCACTGATCACTGTTGTTTAAGCCCAACAGTCCAGACAGTATTTCTTCCTTCAGGCAGTCTTGCAGTCAAGTCCATACTTTCCTCATTTGGCTACTGGGATACGAGAGGAAGCTGTTCTGAGAGCTTTGCTGAAGTCAAGGTAAATAAGATCCACTGGTATTAAGGGCTAGAGAAAGAAAGATGCTTAAAACCAGAGCTTGAACCTCCTTGGGAAGTGGGATACTGTAAGCTAACAAAAGGTGCAGTTTTAGATTAGTGTGAGGGACTGGGGAAGACTGTCTCAGAAACAATGAGAAGAAGACTCCAAGATGGTTACTATGGCTAATGATGCTGTTTTAGGCTCTTTGTTCCCTAGATTTGACGTGTAGCACTTCTTCAAAAAGCGATGTGCTCTTTTCCTGACTTATCTCAGTTTTCACTAAGCATTTTCCCAGTGCAGATTTATTTTAAATAGTGCTACTTCTCTAGCTATGTAATTGCTGCAGGCATCTGTGGAAACTGTCTCAGAACAAAATTCTCTCAACAAACCTGATTTATTAAATGTGGCACTTTCAGAATAGTGCTGCAGATGAAAGAGCATGACCATTGCTGGCTAAGTAGGAGCTTAAAGTCAGAAAGACTTTAAAATGATTAATCAAGTGTTATTGGCCTAGAGAGGATTCCTTGCTAAGCATTGAGACCTCTTAGAGTCTCGATCCAGCTTAGGCACATTTTCTGTATGTGCTCTTCAGAGTTACAGTAATTCTGTAGTTAGTTAGCCTTGTTTCTAGCTGCTTAGTTGCCACACTTCAGTGTTTATTCTGCATAGCTTTTTCCTTTGTCATAAAGGAGAAAGTATTTTATGTAATTGGCAAAGAAATCTAGTCACTGTCCAATTGTGCTGCCTTTGGATTTAGAGTAATGAGATAGTGATTGCAGTAGACAAATGCCTGCAGTGCTGCTACCGTCCAGCATTTGATCCTCACTAACTACTTGTAAAAGATAGCTCACTGAAATTGTGGTGCTTTCCACAAATTGTAGGTTATGCTTCATAGTTCTGTCTTGGTAGTATGGTAAATAGAATATAGAGGTTATTCCTGCAAAGACTTCATGATTTTGTTTTTATACTATAGTTTGTTCTAATTTTCAGTATTTACATTATGATTACATGTCTCAAAGGGTTTTACCATGATTTAGTGTGGAGGTTTTTGTCTTTAGGTTAGTGGCTTGTATCTGATGGTAGGATCAGAAGAATCCAGTTATCTGTGAGGAAGTGCGTGAAATAAAGTGGCAGCCTCGGTCCATTTCTAGAGAACAGGTGCTATATCCCAAGGCTGCAAGCGAAGTTGCAAATACAGAGTCTGTAAAATATATATAAAGTTGGATTTTCCATATCCAGTTTAGGATTTAGACACCTAATAAAATACAGAGAATCCTGCGTATTTTAAGTCTGTGTTTGAGCTCTTCTCAGAGCTCAGCTTTATTGCTATATCTTTTGAAACACCCACATTTTCCTAATTACAATAATTTTCCTTGGTATGTAGAAAAATCATTCTGGGGTGGTATTTGTGGGCCAAAGTGAACTATAATTTACGGTTTAAACTGTGTAGAATAGGATTCACATTTGCACTTTTTTTTTTAAGCATAAAACTGTTTAAATCATTGAAACCAGATTTCATGGTAGCTTTTATTACGTTATTGTTACGCACTACTCTGAAATACAAATGTAATGATCTTTATTTTTTTTGAAATCAGTGTGTTCTAGGACTATGGCTTCCAAAACCCCAGTTGGATTCATTGGGCTGGGTAACATGGGAAATCCAATGGCAAAAAACCTGGTGAAACATGGATATCCAGTTATTGCATATGATGTGTTCCCAGAAGCTTGCAAAGAATTTCAAGACTTGGGTGCTCAGGTATAGTAATAAACTTCCTTTATTCCAACAATAACTGTGTTGAATGGTTCTTGCATGCAATGCAACTAAATCATCTGCGTTTGTTTTCTTGATTAAGATCACAGTCAGAACTAAAACAGGACAATGAATACAATGTGAATCTGTAAGGTTTCAGTTGGAGCAAAGATATGATTCTAACCTAAGTAATTTTCTTGTTGTTAGCCAAAATTGCTACTTTGTCAAACTTCTCTGGCTCTTTTTTCCCCTCCCGTTTTTATGAGAGTGGGTTGATGGCCTGTTCTTTCACCTCCTCCTTTCTCCTGCTTCCTTCTCCCCCAGGTCTAGATGGCCAGTGGGCTGCTATTCATCTGGTTCCTACTTTGACCTTTTCAGGTTAAATGACCCTAGTTAAAAGTTCCCGCTGGCATAGCTATAAGGGTTATAGGGACATATGAGCTTTCCTGCTGCGTCAAGGTGCAGTCCTCAGGGGCAGGGGAAAAATCTAATTATTTCAGTGCTTATTCTCTTGGAGATGAGGAAGGATACGGTGAGAGAAGAGGAAGGAATGAAAAGGAAAAAGGAGGGAAGGAATTGATTACATTAAGAGGTTTACCTTCCTGCCGTATACCCTGGAAAATCTTGGCCCTTTTCCAGCTAGTCCTATGCCTTTTATTGATCTGTTAATACTCCTGGAACCCCATTCAGTCTCTGAGGTGGCTGGGTCATTTCTAAGCATCTGAAACACCTTTGAATTGTTTTTACATACTTCAAAGCTTTACCAGTTTAGACAGTTGTGGGCAGATGGGTAGGTGCATAAAACACTGGAACAAAAGAACATACTCAAGTAAGGAGTGCAATGCAAAAATAATGCTCTGATGTAACAGTATAAAGGACAGGAGGGAATTTTCCAGCAGTGGCAAGGAAATTGTAGGTAGATCTAGATAGAGGAACTGTGTGCCTTGAAAGTCTAAACTGCTGGAGCTAATTGCAGCTGTTTTAAATAATGAGGTAACATCAAGATTCATGAAAGATAAAATGATAAAGCGCACCCGTTAGTAATTAATTTCAACTCCCCTTGAATAATTACAGAATCTTGGCCTTAAGTGGGAAAGTAAGCTTTTCAGCTTCTTTTCCTAGCTCCTGTTTTTATTTTCTTAAAGCAGCCGAGACCCTCAGGCATGAAACAGACCCGTCTTTGAGTAAGAGACTGGGCAAATGGGAATCTGTTTTGAACAATTGGTTGTATTTTTAATTCGTATTCTGCAGTAGGATCTCTTTGCTGTGGCTGCCCATTTTGTTAGCTTTTTGCCCTTGTAATGGAATCCTTGGCATTTGCTGCAAGACTTAACATGTGATAATAAAGGTGAACTATAATGCTTTTAAAAATAAAGTCAAAAGTATGTTTTAAGATTGTAAATCACTAAGAGAATACATAGGTAGGCTTAAATACAAATAAAACACACTTCAGGAAAATATGTGAACGTAGCTTTCTCTTCTTGATCTATAGGTGTAAATCCTACCCCAACACTTTTTTCAGGAGTTGAAAACTTGTGGGTCCGTGGGGCCTTGTAGAAACTGCTGTAGAAGGAACATTGGGCTCTAAGGGCTGCTTTCTCTTTGGTCTGGCTGATAGGGTAAAATCATCAGGAGTGTTACAGAGGTGAAATGACCCCAAGAGACCATAAATCTAGCCAAATGTCCATTGTTTAAGGCCAGTGCTGCTACCAAGGTATATGGAGGATGAGGGATGTTGGACCGTTAATCTGCATAATCTGTGACTTTCCTTTCTTTAGCCTCCCATTAAAGAACTGGGAGGTAGTATATATCGGGAACCAGCCACCCTCCTAGTAATGGTGAATAGTAAGAGGAAAACTGGCTCAGCTGGAGCGTATGGAACCACTTAGGGTGAAACCTGGGAGAAAGTTGGAAGGCTACAAACAAGGGAAAATACTGAACAAGACTGTGAGCAAGTAGGCTGCCTCTACACTCTACTTACTGTCTTTCCCCTTCATCATATTTACCATACTTATCAATTTTTTTGTACACAGTGGAGTAACTGTGTCACACAGTTACTTTACTTGTTTACATGTCTTTGAATCTTATCTCAGATTTAGAAGACTGAGAGTGTTACTGAAGTCATCTGATGCATAAAGCATCATAAAAATAGAACTTTCTTCAGTGTACAGTAATAATGGCATTTTAGGCTAACAGATATATTAATTGACTTACCACAAAAATAAATAAAAAGTAGGGAAGCAGCTTGGAACAAATATAAGCAGATGCACATATTGAAGGGCAAAACCAATGACCAGTATGAAGAAAAGTTTCCCCTATCCAGTTGCATACTGAAAAAGTTTTGTTGAAAAGCAAACAAGTATCCGAACATGTACGGAACTCTGTGGGCTGCTACTCTGAGCCAGTATGGTCTGTGTTGGTACTGAACAATTAGTATTTGGTATATTTTTTAAAGTTATGCACATTCTTAATGATTTTGAATGCTTAATGCTTTGCAATAGCTTTCAAATCATTCAGATTTATTTCTGAGACAGGAAGTCCCAAAATAAAAGTTTTGTATGCTGCTTACTGAACCAGGTAGGTAGATTTCCTCAGAAAATATAATTCATATTTGTTAACGGTATTAAAAAGCTAAGAGTGGCAATTCCCACTTTTAATTCCCACTTTGTTTTGCTACTTACTTCAAGGTAGCAGAAAGATTTTACTTTATATGGTTGTGGAAGTACTGTCCTAATCTGTATGCATTTTTAATCTCATTTGCTTCATATAAAAGGCATGTTAGTATTTTGAAAGACATGGATGGAATAAATTAGTTTCTGTGTAGGTGACTACTGACCATGTCTATGTATCCGTGTTCCCTAAGAACTGTTTAAAACTGTAATCAAAACCCAACTATATTCTACCCCAGCTATATTCTATCTACGTAGCCAGGTAGAAATTTGAGACTGATGTAGTTTTTCAGCTGTGTGCCCAATATAATATGTTTTTCAACTTATGGTTGAAAGATGCAAATGGGCCACTGAGTCTTCAGGTGATAACTTGCAAACCCCTAAGAATACTGGACATAATAGTTTCAAATAAGAAGACATATATAAATTCAGGTTCCAATTGCACTGCCTCTCTCCTCTAATAATACACATTGGGACTGAACTGAACCAGAGATACTTGAAACTAAAGACAAAGGTGTCATGCTCCTATATAAAGAGATAGGCACTCCAGTCTCCAGGGAGGCAAGTCATAAAATTAACTAATCAAATAGAAAAGCTTTGCTCTTATAATTGCCTCATTTATTCCTCCTAACCTTTGTTCTTTAGACTAAAACATGTTTCCTTTTTTAACTGTATGGTATACCAGATATTTTGTGCAGTATTAACTTAGTCTTTCAAAACAAAATCTGGGTGTTCCTAAGTCTCATCTATGCCAGTTTCTGTACGTTTTTTTCCCAAGAGCTTTGTTCAGTGACTGTATACAGTCTTCCCTTCTTTTACTTATAAATACAAATCAAGAAGTTTCTCATGCTGTATCCCAGAAGTCCTTATTCAACATTCCTTACAAATGTGTATATAACATGCTTTCTTTGATTCTGAGACCTTATAAATGTAGTGTATATAAAAAGAGAATATATTTACATTAGGATCTTTACTGTCAAAACTAACAAAAATTATAACAAATACTTGTATTTATAAATAGATAGGGAATGGTGAAATAGGTTCAACGATTTGTTGATTTGTCCGCACTATGGAAAGTCTCCATAATTTTAGGTAGCTGTTCAGCTGCAATTTCTTTATCCCTAGAGTCATGTGATATGGAAATTCTAATTTATTCACACTAAGAAGTGCATGTAAAATTTTAAGACATTTCTTAAGGTTAAAAACTCAAGGCATATAACATATGTAGCAGAACAGATCATTGAGATACTAAGGTTGCTTCTCATCATTCAGCAACAATAGCTGGAAAATAAATACTAGAAGTCCTATTCACAAACAAAATCTACTTTCTGCTCATCTTGTTTCCTACCTAGAACTTAAGTTGTTTCTATAAAACTACCTGAATGACTGAAATCAGATTTGATCCTTGTGGGCTAAAGATAAAAGAATTAGCTGTATTTTTTGTTGCTGTTTTCCCTTATCTATGAATGTATTAACAATGCATTTTTTAAAGAATTATTTCAAACCAGTACTGGACAAAAGTTGTAGTGGTAAATGCCTTCTGAGTGCAACTCAGCTTTAGCTGTCAATATTTCTCTGAAAGTGATCTGGGAAAGGTAATATACCTTTAAAGTTTGGTATGTTTATTTGACAACCAGTACCTAATACTATATTTTGAAAATTATTCAGATCTTTTTTTGTGAAGAATGCTTGAGCTGATAATTTTCTTTTTAAAAAAAATACCAACTGTAATATTGCGAGAAACAGCAGTTAGTTTATCTGATTTTTTTTTTTAAGGTGAGCCTCAGAGATACATTAAATAATTTTTTTCTTTTTTCCTCAGTCTTCCTCTCTTCCAGTATCATATATAAGATAGGAAAAAAGTGAGATTTTTGTGGTCCTTCATATTTTCCTCCTTAGAAACATTGCAGAGCAATATTTTGTATAGATGCATTCTTTTTAAGGAATTGAAGATTCATGAATAGGTTGATGGGATGCAAGCATCCCCCTTGGCAGATGTGGAGGAACTTCCATGATAGCAAATCCTTTTCATTTTTATTTTTTTATTTTTCTATTACTGGATACAATTAACTAACATTTTCATTAGGAGAGCAATTTTTCTAGTGTTTTAATTTTTTACCTAGCTAAGTTGTGACGGATGAATACTAAAAACAAATTCAACAAACATGTCTGACATCTCTGTTTCAGGAAGTGTAAGCTTATATATTTTTTTTTCCTTTAAAAGGTAACAGAATCCCCAGCAGATGTAGCAGAACGAGCAGACAGAATTATTACCATGCTGCCTTCTAGTCCCAATGTGAGAGAAGTTTACACAGGAGCAAATGGAATTCTAAAGTAAGAATTTTTTGTAGTTTAGAGAATTCCCACTCCTACTTAAGGCTGTATCATGTTGTTTGCCAGATGATCCCTGTTGCTGTAACTCTTGCTGTGCCTTCAGGGCACTTAATTCAATGTTCTCTGTTCTGTCAGTATTGATATTTCTAATTATATGAGTTCTCTTATACAGTGCTTGGTTCTGAATGGCTTTTGGCTGAAGTCTTAATTTTATTTTTGACATAATTTAACTGACTGTTATCTACATTTCCACTTGCATGTTTCTTTTGCCCTAATGTAATGTACTACACACAGGTATAACTAGAATATTTTCTAGCAACAATTATTTGCTCATTTTTTTCTTTTACTTGAAATCCTATAAATTAAATGTTCTGAAGAGATGTCATTGTGCCTTATGGTATTAAAGTATATTAACGTAGAAAGCTGACAAGACTTTATATTGATTTTCCTCTTACTTGTCTGTTTATTACGCAAGAAAATAGCTAACAAGTTTGTTTAATGTGAAACAGTGGGTTTTAACTTTTGTGAAGGGATTGCCACTAAACCTTAAATGCATAGTTTGCAGAAATCTATCGCTCAGAGTTTTTGTACTTACCAAATTAAAAAATAAATAGTATTGAAAAGTCTGTTCTGGCCATGTGTGCATTACTCCTGGCAGGCTGACTAAGGCTACTGGATACCTCTGAGGATCATGTAGCATCTTACAGCTATCAAGGTTAATAATGTAAAGGAAGAAACATACAGAAGACAAAAGTACAGTAGATTGCCAAAAACTGGTGATGTCTTTTTAGGTACTGATTGTACAATATTAAGATGCATTGATAAGAAAATGAAGTGGAGGAGAGGGATTTCTGTTGTTGTTGCTATATAGGAATAATAGTTGCTTCCTTCCCTGACTGGTCTGTAGTTTAATTCCTCACAAAGTAGGACTGAGCAGATCTAAGTATCCATACCTCAGACCCTTCAGGGAAGATGGGTAATTGGCTCAGTCCCACAAAGCCAGGCAAACAACTGTGGGAGAACTATCCAGGATGACAGGGGTTTGACGAACAATTGGCAGTACTTACTGACATAGTACAGCCAGTTAATCTTTAAAGTACATAGATGTGGAAAATCCTGCAGGGAACAGAGGCTGTGGAAAGCAGTCCTATGCTGCTGCAGTTTCTCAGCCTCTGTATTAAGAGAAGGAAGTGTAATTTGGCAGTAGTGGTTGTATCTCTGAGTGACACTCAAGACTAGCTATCATTGGGAAAACAAGATTTTTCTCCATGCTTCACTTCAAATCTTCTGTAGGTTTTTGTGGTCTTAGTTATGATCTTTATGTGGAATAAATAGTAGCAATGATTAAAAGAATGAAATCAGACTATTCTGCTAAGAACTTAAGATACTGTATATATAAAAAGAACATTGTATTGTTATATATTAAATTTTAGGCTGAATCAACATTTAGGTCAGTTGCTTAGAATGCATCTTAGATGGTCTGTATATGATATACTGTTCAAACTTTTATGATGGCAGGTTTTCCTTGTGCACCCTTTTTGTGTAATTTTTTATAATAGCGTTTAGGAGGAACATCCTTTTTTGTGTTCAGTATTATTAGGCTTTGAGTGATTCAAAACTGCGTGCTATACATAATCAGCAGTATAAATATTGAGCAGATCTTGCTCAATAGGGTTTAAAACTTTGTGTTTCTCTGGGTACCACAAAGTGTCTATAAATTTATCATGCTGAGGAAAGCCAGTGCCATGGTAATAGTTACAGGTGTCCTGTGAAACAAATACTTTATAATAACAACAACAGCAGCAACAACAAATCATTTTTATTTTAGGAAAGTGAAGAAAGGCTCATTGCTAATAGATTCCAGTACTATTGACCCAGCAGTTTCAAAAGAATTAGCCAAAGCTGTTGAAAAAATGGGAGCTGTTTTCATGGATGCCCCAGTTTCTGGAGGTAAGTCTTCATTAACAGTTTACCTCACACTGGACACGTTGTCTCTTTGCAGTCTCGGTCACCAGTTTGTACCTTTGTTGCTACAAGTTGCTTTCCTTTGCTATATGTACAGTATTCTGGGGGTTTTTGTTGTTGTTTGATTACATTACAGAAATGTATGTTATTTTATGGATATTTTTGGTTTAGGAGTATGCTTTTGTGTTAGACCTGGAGAAACTGAGCTTTCTTAGGATATGGTACAGGGGTCCTTTTAATTTAACTTGTTTCTTAAAGTTGCAGATATTCATATCTCTTCAGCCTTCATCTGTTTCTGTTATGGAAAAACTGTTTGGTCATCATTAAGCAGTTTTGCTGCTTTTTCATTAATTAAAAAGGAGGGAATGAAGGGGGGAATATAGGATTTCTTGATCAAGAGAAAACAGCTTTCATCTGGTTTTATAACAGTTGAAGAATGTGGGTAGTATTTGTCTATTCTTGAAAGTTGCTAGCTATTGATCTCTTATTTCTCATAAGAAATAATATAGAGCAGGGAAGTCTTTCATTTTGTGGACTGAGGAGAGCAGAAACATAAAATCAATGTTTTGAGAACAAAACCATAGCTGATAGTTACTATTGTTGAATTCTTCTCTGAAAGACCTAGAATTAGAATGTGAGAGCATCCCCATTTATGTGGGAAAATCTTGGGGTTTTTACAATCCCCTCTAAAAATTAATCTAATTGGCATTGCGAGAATTCTTGATTTTCCTGATGAGTGTGGTTGAGGAGCAATAACTAACCATCTTTTTAATTTTCAACTGAAAACTAAGGCAGGATTTGACTACGTACTAGAAGCCAAAATTTTCATCTAAGTTCTATTGTGAACAGAAAGTAGGAAGATCCAGGTAGGCGATACTGAAGATTATAATGGAGAGGACAAGATTCTTGCTTCCCAGCCAAAATATTAATCCTGTTTTATAAAGTTAAATAACTTGTCAGCCTGGGAATAAAAACAGCAGAAAAAGTGTATTGTGGGTGGATTATGTATCTATCTGATCCTTTTTTAAACAACTGCATGCCTTTCTGCTTTTCAGTTGGGCAATTCTGACATTATCTGTGTGGTTCTCTTCAGTCCCTTTCTGCCAGATATGTTGTTTACCTGAGGGAATTATTTACCTTTTAGAAATGTCTGTAATTTGTTTTTACTTGTAAGTTTTTGCTACAAGGCTGACTATACTATAACTACAAAGAAAAAAGTTTGATTCCTAAACAACGCTTGCTGTTTGGGGGAGTTTGTTCCTTGAGAAAATGTTAAGGCCAAGACAGAATTAATATGATAACATATAGCTGACTAGTATGAATACAGATGACTTTTTTTGGTTTTAGTTTATCTGAATACAAATAACTTGGTGTTTAGTGTCAGTTACAGATTGAGTGATATTCTGAAGGAGAGGAAAAGAATCAGACTTAACTTTCTAGTACTTAATATGTTTGTGAATGCCAAGGAGTACAAAGAAATGTGGAGAAGTTAAAGGTTGGAAAAAACCTTTAATGTTATGCTTTGTTATTTCCATCTTTCAAGACCTAACACATCAAGTCTTTGGGGTATTTTTGTATGTCCTGACTGCATTGTTGGCCTTCAGACAAAATACTAAATGGAGAAGTATGCTCGACTCTCTAGAAATTGGCAGGCATTATTCTGTGGCAGTGAGGAGGAAGAGAAAGCAGCATGTGTGAACTGTCCCCTTTAGATCTGTCTGTTTACTGGCTGTTATTGGCACACAACTCCACTTGTGTTTTTAGGTATTTGGGTGTTGCCTGATGGATGTTAATATTCATATGCGCTGTGAACAAGTTATTTCACAAACTGAATAATATTTTGGAAATTTCTTGGTCTAGAAACCTTAGTGAGAACTAGCAGTGATTTTAATCCTGTCCCGTCATTGCAAATGAAGAATCTTTGTGCATAGCATTAGGGCCAGATTTTAGTGGCCTGTTTGCAGCTTTACCCCTAAAAGATTCTTTGCCTTGATCTTTTTCAGATGGGCCTGCGTGCCAGTGTAGTAGTGCTTTCTTCTTCCGTGGCCTACAGCATTTGCTTGCAGCTTACAGTCGGGACCCATTAAGTGGAAGTCGATGCACCAAGTTACTATAGTATTATTTCGTATTAACTGACTTTAGAAAATACTTCTCATCCCGGTAGTTGCATGCAGATTATGCTGCTAATGCTGTCTAGGGATAGCAATCGCTTTACCCTGGGATTAGGATCTCTTGCAGGTCCGCATGAGAAAGTTGTATCTTGGTTCGCAGTGCTGCCCTGATTTGTGACATCTTAGTGAGCATGTGACTAATGAGGAGGAAACACCTTCAAAATCTGTGTTTGTTTAATGCTTTTTTTTTTGATCTAGAGGAGTAAATTTATCTCTTGGTGAAGATTGGATTCTGCATTTTTGTGTGTATAAGAGGCTTTTAAAGTACACATTATCACAGGAATGTATTTAAAACTGACTTCTGTTGGCACAAGACTACTGGCTAAGTACAGTATCTAAATTTAGCCTTCGAGAATTGTGTCAAGTTTGTTCTCCCACTGATTTCAGTAAAAGTATGATACAGATTCTCACCTTGCAATCCAGAGCAAACTTTACTAATGGCTTTACTAATGCTGCCATAGTAGTTCTCTTTCTTTAACTCAGTATACAAAATATGCATTGTCTGAAGTACAGTGGGTGAATTTTTTTTTATTTCTGATGTGATGCTTTCTTCAGTGTAAGCATTGTTAGTTCTCGGATACTACCTTTTCAACTTTTTTCCCCTTCCACTGACTCAATTATATCAGATCCATATCTGCTCAAAATACATGGTACTGCATTCTGCTTTAACGTCACAAAAAGACTTGACAGCTTGATTTGCTTTTCTGTTTTTGGAGGTACAAAGAAAATGTTTTCAATTCTTTTGTAAGGATGGTTCTTTAAGATCCGATAATGAAACTTAGGGAGATCTTCCCCTTCACTGTATATCTTAGCCAAGATAGTCATGAGTAAAAAAACCAGACTACTAATTGTTAATAACAGCTGCCATGTAGAGAACTGTAGTCATGTTAATATGGTAACAAACAGTAGAATAGAAGATTATTTTTTTTAGGAACTGTGGATTGGAGGTGGCTAGAAAAGGTTGGAGTTTCTATTCCAGCTGTCATTTCAAACCATTTCATCTTATAGTGCTGCATCCGTAAGATCTAGTTAGCGATTAAGGGATGGAAAAAATACTAGTAGTACCACTGAGAAGTTGAGACTTCAGCTCACTGGTAATGTAAAGTATAATGTGAGTTCTTGAAGGGTGAAATGCAGACTTATTCCCTGTATTGGAAAAGAATTATTAGAAATACTGTGAGATCTTTAATTTGATTTTCTCTCAGTGAGCAGTAGATTTCATTATTTTGATGGCAGGATCAGACTGATAGCAGAGATTAAATAGACCAATGTGAATGTGTTTCTCTTACTTAAACATTGGTGGCTTGCTGTAGTGTCTTTTCCTAGGGAAACAGAGGAGTTAAGACTGTCTGCACACACTAGTGCTTGCAAAGATGATTTGAAAGATGTTTTAAGACTAGACTAAATAATAAAAATTAGTAATGAGCGGTTCAAATGTTGCATCTTTTAGCTTGTAAATTCTGTTGTAATAAAGATGCATAATCAATACATTTGCCAGAATAAAGCTAGTTTAATAGACCTGTCTTTGTTGAAGAGCCTTTGCAGAGCTACTTTTTAACTGGCTTCACTAGATTGTGTCTGCTTTTCTTTAAATTTGTGCACTTTTAGAGAAATGTTATCTTATGACTTCATGAGAGCAGAGGAGTTGGTGGGTTGACTCAGTGTCTCTAATTTGAGACATTATGTACTTTTTTAATAAACAGAAGGCATAAAATGAGGAATCTCCTGAATTCAGTGGTATAGAGCTTTTGTTTGGTTTTGGCTTCTTGACCAGGTAATGCAGTGATTGGATCTGTTAAAATGCTTGAAGCACTATCAAGATGAAACAGGTTCATGAATTTAGAACTAATAATTCTGACCTATCCCTTTATCAGTGGCTGGTGATCTTGCTGGCAAGGAAAAGAGCTAAAGGCATAGCCATATTTGCTCCATTGTTATTTCTGGTTTTACGCTTTTATGCTTTATTTTTAAATCCTGAATGTGTGTACTCAGAATGGCCACAACGTTCTCTGTGTTTCTGGTACTGAGCATAGCACTTTCACTGCACTTTCTCTCTGCCCTTCCTCAGTCACTACATGTCTTGAATAATCTTTTCTTTCCTGACATGTTTCTTAATTTTTCTGTTTACATTTTTTTGCTGAATGCATCTGATCATATTAATTTTTTGCAAAGTCTGTGATGTAGACATGGTGGTAGAAATTACAATGTACAGCCTTAATATTAAATGTAGTGTGAAAAATGTTACTGAGTTGTTCTGAAATTGAAATTAGGGAAAAGTAATACAAGAAGTAATGATGACAAAGAAGGGAAAAATTGAGTGAACTGATTTAAGGAAGCTGAAATGAGGATGAAGAAATATTTTGAAACCTGAGATACTTAAAAAGCTTCTGATTTCTAATAACTTACAATTTAAATTATTTAGCAATACTTACGTTTGTCAAAATAAGGCTGGTTTAGTAGACCTCTCTTGTTGGAGAGAAGCTGAAAAGGAGTGAAAATCTTGAGAATCTTACACATTGGCAAAATGAGTATTTTGACACTGTGGCAGGAGGAAATATAAACCCTGTGCGGAAATCACAATGTTGGCAGCAGCTGCTGTTACAGAAGAGTTAGACAGTACATTTACTGATGTGCTGACTTTGCAAGGCTATTTTTCTTCTCTAAGTTTATTATGCCTTTTATTTTATTTTATTTTATAGAGATGCAAAAGGTAGCAGAAGGTAAGGAAGAATAAACAGATTTGTTGAGAGTATCATCTAAAAACGTTCACTGGAGTGGAGACAATTATCGTACAATGACTAAAAGAGTGGAATA